TGTGTGTGTGTAGGAGGGTTGGGGTTCAAGAGGAGGAAGAAAATTTCATTCTTCTTAAATGGAGTGGCAAACAAAGACTGTGGAACGAGGGCAATGAAGTCTCCAGTGCCCTGGAAGAGACTGTGCTGGCATTTGGTTCATTCTCACATTATCCTTCTATACAATTTCTGGCATGTGAAGCCTCTGGCAAGCCCTTCCTGGGACTCCCGAGTTATGCTGCACAGCTGGGATGGAGCACGCCATTGTGGCCCCGGCTGATTCTCTCCAGGAGAAAGATTAAACTGTTAAGAAGATGCCCAGGGGTCTGGAACTCAAGCCCAGAGACTGAAGCATTGCTCATCCATCTCATCCCATGTATCCTCCTCCCAGCCCTTAGGAGCAGGTCTCCTTTTCTCCTTTCCAAACTAGGAAATGAGACTTAGAGACTTATCTTGGTTCCATAGTTAAGAAGGGGCAGAGCCTTGCTGAAGCTTGTCCTTCTGAACCCACTTCAGCAAGTCAGGCTTCCTTCTCCTTATCGCTTTTCAGGGGCTATTCAGTCAGACACCTTTTTTTTTTTTTTTTTTTTCAGGCAGGTGGAAGCATTTACCGATACACAAAACTAAGACAGGGGTATGTAACATGATCACTAAGGTGTCCAGCTTAGAGGAGGGCCAGGGAAACCCTCGCTGGTGGTTTGTGCACAAGACAATAGGAGAGCAAGGCATGTCCTGTACATAGGCCTTTCTGGAGGCTCTGGGCCAGGTGACTTGTGCTTTCCTCGAGAGAGGTTGCTCAGGCTCATTTATGCCCAACACCACCAGGCTCAGAATGGATTTAAGCACAAATCAGTCAGTCCCTAGCTGCACTTCTATCTGCCCACACCCCAGGCTCTCAGCTCTGTGGGATGGCCTGGGCTCATAGACCCGTTAACGTGTCCCTCCCATCTGCCCTACTCCCAAAATGGTCTTTGCACAGAGGATCAAAGAGGGTTACTCACCGTCACAGCACCCCCCGCCCCACAGAAGGTGGGAGGCAGCAAGAGCATGGCTGGGGTTCCACTCCACCGCCTCCCGCAACTGGCTGGCTGGCTGTTTATGGATGTTCTCCCTCTGCGCTCACACTTTCTTTCGCGGCACAGCAGTGAGGCCAAGAGAACGATCTGCTCCCACCCGCAGGGCTTGCACCGTGCCCTGGTCACTAGATACGACTGGAAACCAGCTGGGCATTCCTGTCTCAGGCTTTCAGAAGCAGACCAAATCCCTTTATGCAGAGAGGCCCTGAATGCCCCCGCTTTGGCCCCCAGCTTCTTCCCATGTCACTACTATTCTCTGTGGCTCTCCTATCCCAAGGAAACCAGCTTGCTTTGACCTTGGTGAAGCCTTGGTTAATCCTGCACTTGCCCTCACACCCCATTCATTTATAAATAGGCTCATTTCTCATCTTGCTTAGGCCTGGAACTCCACACCCAAGCAGCAAATGCAACTGTGGGACTCCTTTTTCAGCCAAGAGCTGAGCTGGTCCCACCATCACGAGCCTGAAGGATGAGATCATCACAGACTCTCTTCAAATAGCCTCCGATCCAATTTACCCTGTGGATGAGTGTCCTGTGGTTTCTGTAGCAAATAACCACTGACTGGGTGGCTTAAAACAAAATGCATTTTCTCACGGTGGGTCAGAAATCTGGACTCCAGCAAGGCTGCTCTCCCTCTGCGGCTCCAGGGAAGAATCTCTTCCTTATTTCTTCAGCTTCTAAGGGCTGCTGGGCTTCCTGGGCTGTTGGCCTTCGTGGGCTGGTAGCCACAATATTTCCCTCCTTGCTTCTGTGGTCCCATTGCCACCTGCTCTGTCTACATTCCCTCTGCTTTCCTCTTAGAAGAACAAGGTTCATTGGATTTAGTGTCCATGTAAATAATCTAGGATGATCGAAATCCTTAACTAAATCACATTTGTAAAAAAGTCTCCGCACGCCCCCCGCAATAAATTCACATGTATGGATTCTAGGGATTGGGCTGTGAGCATACCTTTTGGGGACCACCATTCGGCCCTCTGTGTACTGTTGTCACTGAGAAGCCATGCAAGGGGTGGGTCCAGTGAGGAAATCAATGAGAACTGTGAAGAAGCGGTGCAGGATGTAGGGGTCTGAAGTTTGGCTTAGACTGACTCCCTGCGAGAGAGAAAATCTGACTTTATTCTGAGTGCTGAGTCTTTAATGGGTGAACTAATACCACGTAATCTGAGGGATTGGGTGCAGACTGTGTGTCACCTCGAAGTCGTCAATAGGCAATGTTTTTGGCCAGCTGTGCAGCCATCCATTGGATTAAGGAATCGGCAATAGATCCGGTTATGTTAAGACAGCTGGAGCAAGCAGACCACACACGGCCACTTATTATTTTGGCTTTCCCAGGGACATGTTGTGATTTGTGACTTGGCGCTAGACTATTAAGACGCTCACAAAGCCTGTTCAGCTGTCACTGGGTTATGTTCCCTGGTGAGGGAAGATGACCTGAGTGTAATTGCATGGTGCAGTGGAAAGAACAGGAGGCTCTGGGACTATAAACATGTCCTGGAGCCTGTCTCCTCAGTGCTCACTTCCTGAGGCTCTTCAGAAGGTGTAGTTGTCTCCCCTTCTGGAAAGTGAGCAGGAAACATCTGTGAAGCGGTGAGTCCACCTGCAGGCCTAGATTCAGGACCTGAGACATAGTAGACAGGCACTCTTTAGAAGATTGCTTCCAATGCAAGGGGAGGGGAACATGGTCCACCCACCCACACAAGCTCCACCCGCCCGGACCTTCCCACGGACACCCCTCCCCACTTTCCTTCTCCAAGCCCTGTTGATTTCCTAACGGGCTGTTCTCACCTTGGTCCAGATGGATCTCTTTTGTAGGTCTTGGCTGCAGCCCCCTGATCTCTCACCCTCTCTCAGGTGCCTTCTGCTCTACACAGCAGCCATCGTCAGTGAGAGCTCTGAACATAAATGTAACTTGTCACATTCCCTGCTTAAAAATGTTTATGAGTTCTCATTCCCTCAGGCTTGGAAGGCCCTCTGCCCTCCTCCTGCCTGCACGACAGCTCAGCTCTCTGCTCTTCTTTCACTCTGCTCAGAGCTGCTGCTTCTTATGCCCCCTCCTACTTTCCCACTCGCATCCTGTTCCTCCTTTCCTCTCCCATCCCCACTTTCATCTTTAGTTTTTTCTCACCCTCTCTATCACCTCCTCTTTCCCCACCTCCTCTCTTCTCCTCACCCTCCTTCCTGTCTTCCACCTCGCCTTCTTCTGCAGTCTTCCCCCCCACCCCCCACCTACCTACTTCTCCCCTCTCCAACTCCCTTTACACATGCTGCTCCTCTAGTTTAGATCACTCCTGGGTTTATCGTGGTCTTGCCTGATCACCCACCTTGTTAGGCACAGGGAATCTTTGTGCCAGGTTCCTCTGTGTTGCTATAGCACCAAGAAGTCACTCTTGCTAGTTGACTGACTACTCCTAGCCACCTAGCCTCTGGGTGGACCAGACACTGTATAGGGCCTAGTATTTGATGATAGTTACCCCCATGGCTCAGTCTCTTCTCCCAGGAGACACTGAATGCAGTACTCCAGAGTATTGGAGATTGAGCCCCTTTGGAATCTGGGGAAATCACTTAACATCTTACATATGAAAAACAACAGCTGCTGTTGAGCCCATTCCAACTTGAAGAAACCCAATATAGGGTTTCTGAGGCTGTAAATATTTATAAGAGCAGATAGTCTCACCTTTCTCCTGCAGAGTGGCTAGTGGGTTTGAATCACTGACCTTGCAGTTAGCAAACACTTAACGAATATAGGATGATTGTTGTTGCTGCTTTTTTGAATTGTTGTGAATTAATGCATGCAGAGTACTTAGGACAGTGCAGTGTGCTGTTAGTTTGTATAAATATGAACTCTTTCAATCACACAGTTTATAGCCCAGGGACTGTAGTAAGTCAGGCAAGAGGATAGGCAATCATACTGTTTGATCAGGGAAGAGTAGGGCATATCAATAAAAGAACAAGAAGGGACACCTCACTATTCAGGGCATCATATGTAGCATCTGTCTCTTTTGAGAGACCACAAGGACTATGCCATAATCTTTGAAATAGTCCTGGTTCTGGCACTGTATGGGACCCTAGCATGCAATCAAGATGGTATTCTGAATGATTAGATAGATCGAGGGATGGATGAACAGACAGATGGGTATATGGGTGGTAGGTAGATAGATGTATGAATAAGTGGATAGCTGGCTGGCTGGGTGGATCGGGTGGGTGGGAAGATGATGGATGGACAGATGGCATTATAATCACAGATACCCGTGGACTTTATTCAAACTTTCACTGTTGCAAGCAGAGGTATAAGACTTGGAGTGACGTTCTTGCCCCTATTCTTCTCTTGAGCGATTATTTTTCAGATGTTGCTAGTATGTTCTCAAGTTTCTTTCTTCATTAGGTATGGCAATTTGTCCTTCCAAAAATATAACTTCTGGGATTTTTAGACTTTTTAATTTCTCATTCAATATTTCTAGTCCTTTGGATCATGACGGCCATAGCCTCCCAAACTCTCTGTCCTGTGACAGGACCAACTGGCCCTAGAATGAGCTCAGACCAGTTCACAACCTTATTTGCAAGGCCAGCTTGTCATTTCCTTAAAGCTACTTATTTCAAAGACAGATTCATTATCAAGGAGAAAATGCAACCTGCACTCACAAGATCTTAATTTTTTCGGGGTCTTGGAAGTGCCTGGGTGCTAGATGCTGGGTTCTGTCTGAGAGCAGCTCTTTAAGACTAGTGGAAATGTTTGTTGGAGTTGGGTTGGCAAAGAGCCTTTGAGAAAGAACTAGCTCCTCAAATTGTCCAGAGAAATGTCTCTTGTGAGTTTTTGATTCTGTTGCATTACCCGTTTACCACCTGACTCTGACCTTGAATTTGCCTCTCAGTTGTGTTGGTTACTGAGCTGGGTTCCTAAATCAGTTATATACATTTTGGTTGGACTCTTATCCGGCTTGCTTTCCCTGGTATATGTGGGGAGCCATATGGATCATTCCCTTCCTTGAAAAGTTCTTGTCTCCCTTGCAGTCCTGGATGGTCCTCAACAGATCTGTGTTTTCTTACTCTCTTCTTAATGTCTGTGCTTCTCATGTCTTTCATTTTACTTTGGAAAATATTTTTTACTGTTGTTATTATTGTTTTCAATCACATAAGATTGGGGCTGACCAATCAAATACTAAATCCTTGAGTTCATCCCATATATCCTTCACCAGTTTCCCCCTCTTGTAACATCTTGTAGGACTATAGTACAATATTACAATCAAGAAACTGATCACCTTATTCATTTCCCCCGCTTTACAGTAAGGAAACACATGATGTCTATTTGGGCAATGTCTGACTGTACATACTTCCAGACCCCATAGAGTTATAAAAAAATTAGAAAATCCCAATTGGATAATACAGCTAGATGTAACCAGACTTACTAAGTAAACACCTATATCACCAGATTGTGTGGGTACCATATTATACTTCTTAGTGTTATTTTAATGTGAAATTTCCATACTTAACAAATAAAAGTTTACCATATAACAATGTGTGCTTTATCTCATAGGCAGTAGCCCACAATCTCCTGTGCAGCATGACTATTGAGTGTTGTAGCATTATCTCTGTTTAATTTTATTTTGAAAACATTACTGTGAAGTTCATCATGGCTCCTAAATGCAGCAAAAACAGTGCTATTGATAGCAGCAGCAACAGGCAAAAGAGAAGCATCTACTTGGAAGTGATACAAAAGGTTATTAAACAATGAAAGTGGAAAATCAGTAGATGCTATTGTTTATGGTTTAGGCACATTTGCACAGAGTCTAAATCATATAATGTCCTATTTTACAGAATACATTGGAGACATTAAGTGATACATGACTCTATTTTTACTAATTTGTATGTGTGTGTGTGTGCGTGTGTGTATTTAGTTCGGTAAAACTTTATCACATTTATACATTCATTATATCACCAACACAGTGAGGATATGGAACAATTTTACAGCTGTGCAGATTCCTTATGTTACCCTTTTATAAATATGCTGACTAGCTTTCTTTTTTGCTGGCCCCACTCACTCCTTAACTAGTTTGTTTTCCATCTTCATTATTTTGTTTTTCAAGAATGTTACTTAAATGGAACAATGCAAGTATAGGATATAGCTTTTTGGTATTTTTTTTCCCCACTGGGAACAATTGCCTTAAGATATCTATTTTATTATATTTGTTCCTTTATATTGCTAATT